CCTTTCCGTTCCTAGGAGTAAGAGAACAGTTTTGCCCTCCTTATAGTTTTAGATTCCCATATGACGATGAAAATTGTGTGTGTGGCACCAGACTTGTTTGTTAAGCATAAAAGAGCATAAATCCTCCGAGGGTCCCCAGGGGTACGTTAAAGGAAGGGATGGTCTCTGTAAGCCACTTAGCGCTGGTTGCCCTGAGAAAGCACCTGGTGATTGGCTCACGAAGTGGGCTCAGTGAATCCTTTAAATACCGAAGTGGGCATTTATGCTCCTCGAAAACTAATACCCGAGTGCATCGTACAGATGAGCAGGCTCCAGGACAGTCACCTGAGCGCGTGCGCATTTCCCAGGATAGGGTGTCACGAGTCACGGCTTCAGTAGCTCCCCTTTCCACAGCCTGCGGTTAGCTTCGTCACCATTATTCGCTCTTCTTTTTCTCCTTGATGATATGCTCTGTCTTGCAGCACACGGACTAAGGGACACCTGCAGGGATCACACATTCCGCAAACAGCATTTTATCCAAAACACCCTCACGTTACTAGGGAAGATGCCTGGATTTCATGCATTGTTCTTTCCCAGCCTTCTTCTATGTCCTTGATAAGTTGAAAGGCAACATGAAACCAGATGGCAATCATATATATATAATCATATATCTTCTTATATATCGTATATCTTCTTATATATATATATATATATACACACACACACATACACACACATATATATGGTTTTGATTGTAAGATAATGACATGAGGCATGGGCATAGTTCCCAGGTAGATCTTCAGGTGATGTGTTTTACTTTGTTTCTTGAATTTTTACGGTGGTGGAGATCAAACCCAAAGCCTGCTAGAGAGATTTCCTCTAATGCCGAACAACATCCTGAGCTTTGGCCTATTTTGCATTGTTCTTGATACAAACTCAAGTTGAAAAGAAAAAGGAGAAAAAGAACAGGAAAGGGAAAAGTGGCTGTTTTTGCAAGCACATCATTTAACATGGAGAGTTGCTGCTTTAAGGAAAACAAAGCTGTGATAAATATATATTAATTACCTTTAAATATGACCAGAATGTTTATATTAGAATAATTAGGGTAATTTTAGAGTTATATTATTGTATGGCAACAGTTTTGAAAAAAGTTTAAAATGCCGCATTTCCTGTGAAAGTTGGGATCATACGCTGTTTTACTGTTTTATGGATGAAGAGCTTGGTAATTTTTTAGATGCTCATTTCATTTAACCTTCTTGGAATGCAAAACTATTTTGAGTTTTTTAAAGCACTGTGATAAATGTTTGTTTCAGACTTGCATGAGCACGTAAGAATGAACTGCCAGCTGTCTAGTTGTAAATCTAGAAATTGTTACAAAGATTGTTTTTAGAGGCATAAAAGCCAGTAAAGAAATCTTCAGGAAATAAGTAATAATGAACTCAACCTTTTCTTCTTTGCAGGACAGTGGTCTTTGTGCTGGTGTGGAAGTTTTAATTACACAAGAACTCTAAAACTGAGCTATATTCTCAGAGACGTATTTGTTCCTTAATAAACTTTTAGCTCTTAAAGCCCAGATATTCTCTTGTGTTGTTAAAAACCCTGTTTAAGTACATTTAAATAACTACAACTCAGATAAACACTTTTTTAAAAAAAAATACAAATGAAAATCATGTATATAAAACAGTTGTATATATTGTTAAATTTGGTTTGTGGAATATTTTTTTCTCATAGGATATCTTCCATATTTGAAAGATTGTAATAGTTCTTTGAAAAATGGTCCCAAGGGAATTTTTGATACAGTGTGTTCTGCCCAGCCTATTTATTCAAAGGACTTCACAGCTGTCAGACCTGATGGATACTTTATGTCCTCCTGTTCTTGGGTCTTCCCTTGCTTCTGGTGGAAATCCGCTCTTCCCTCTTCCTTTGCCGTGTAAGCACTGAAGGTGGTTTTCTCACCGCTTCCTGGAGTTGCTCAAACATAAGATTACTCTGTGTCTTTTTCTGCTCTTTCTGCAGCCACTAAAGGTGTTGGTAGCAAACTCAGATGCTTTAACCAGGCCTGGCAGTGTAAGTACACTGAGACTTGGCATTATGAAGAGTGTGGGTGAGGACTTAGAGAACCAGAGAGAACATGGCTCATATCAGCTGTCCCACATAGCCACCACCTCAGTGGACGCGAAGGCCAGGACTGTCCCCTCCCTCACTGCACACTCTGCAGTCTGCAGCTGTGCTGCCCAGGAGCTGGGGGAAAGGCAGCTAAGTACACAAAGACACCCTCTTCTGGAGCTGACTTCCATTTTGGCAGTGAGCTGTCCTGGAGTTACACTAAAGCCAGTGATATTTATTATTGCCAGATTTTCCAATTTATTTATTTATGTTTGGTACCGGGGATCGAACTTGGGTCCTTGCACTTGTGAGGCAGGCAGCGGAACCACTGACATAAATCCCCAGCCCCCAGATTTTATAATTTAAAACAAAAGACAAATCCAGATTTTTTGTGAAATTCTATTTTTTAATATATTGACTTAAATTTTTAAAGAAACTTGGGGCCTTTCGAAACTGCCCACTTCCGTTTACAGTGTTGGCCCATGAAATGTGATTCTCACGTCTTAAACACCAAGGCCTCTCACCTGTGCCTGTTTTTCCACCTTGATCTCCATCTATTTCTGTGTTCCTGATTCTCTCTTACACGACTGACCATGCCTGCTCCTGTGCTCTTATATTATATCTTACCTGTTTTACTCCTTGCTAGAAGGCATATTGACTGCTCTCCCTTTCCACTGTGGGCCAGTCAGTGCTCATGGACAGATGTCCAGTCTGCAGTAACCTGATCCTAAGCTTGCCGTGTAAAGTTACTCAGCCCTGTCCCACAGTGTCACACGGTATACTTTCAGTAGGGTTCTCACCAATGGGTTTTATGGACCCTGAGGCCAGAGATGCTATAGTTTTGTCTTTGTTTCCTGAGAACCCAGCACAGCAGTTAATGCCAAGTCAGCACTTCATAAACATCTACACAATGAGTAGTGAAAACCCACAGAAGTCTGGTTTACCTCCCAGGCACATAACACACAGATCTTGTGCGGACAGAAGCTTTGACTCCTGAGTAGATAATCATGGGATGGCAGTTGCTATTGGATGACAGTGATAATTATAAACTTTTGTACCAGCTATGTCTGAAACATCTACTTAAGTCAGCTCTGTCAAACTCCCTCCACCTTTCCCCAGACTGCCCCACCACACACACACACACACACACACACACACGGAAAGGACATACTGGCTGGTTTAGGGTGATGGAGAGTGCAGACATTCTCTCACCTTTTAATTTGGGTTTTTCTTATTCATTGCTTTCAAATTCCCCAGTTCATCTTAAAAGGAAGGTGTCTGAGGGGTAGGAGGGACATGGAGACAGCCTTATTGCTTGCGACTCCACGCCCACAGTGTGTAGAGAGCTTCGTATCTGCTGCCTTGTTGTAGAATGTCTTCCTAAGTTAGTTAGAATGGCAGTTAGCTGTCACTGCCCTCAGTGAGTGGATGTGGAAAATGCCACGGAAGCAGGTAAGTCGCACAGAGAGTTCTGGGTGATTCCTTAGGAGGATGATTTGGAATATAATTGGTTCATTTCATATATACCTTGCCCTATTTCAGCACCATTGTTATTCTGTGAGTTCAATAACTACATAAAAGAATTTATTTGGGTTATCTGATATACACCAGAATTCAATTTAAAAAAAAATCCAATAATTGTTCTCAAACATGGCAGAGTTTAACAAAAGTTTTGCAGCATACCCTCTCTGAAGTAGTCTCAGCTCATTGAAGCCATCATCTATTTATATGTGTAATTATTTAAAAGTTAAATATAATGGCCTGGTTGTTATTTGTATCTGAAATAATAAGAAAGTGATTTCTGTTGAGGTAATGTATTTCAGGATGTAAATGCACATTAACAATTATATTAGAAAAATAAAATGAAGTGGCTAAATACAAACATAATACAAAATCTTCTCTTAATTTATGTGATCGTTGCACTGCTACTTCTGGGAATTTTAGCTTCCAGTTAAACAGAACAAAACATACGTGTGTCTAGCCACGAGATGACATTAGGTTCCAGACCCAGAAACGATGGAAAAACTTTTACCTGAATAAAATGTCTGGTCAAGTAGGCGAGAGGTGTGGGGGACGTGGGGCCTACACCCACTTTCAGAACTGAGCAGTGCTGAGCGTTTCTGGACCTTGGCTCCTGCACTGCAGGAGTTTCATGCTGACTCGTCCAGTGACCCTAAAATGTTTCTAGAGATTTTTAAAACATCCTCTTTTATGGCATTGCTACTCTATGTAATGGTCCTGGTCTTCCAAACCGAAGTTAACATTGGTTTAAAATAAATATTTATTTCTTATTTTTGCACTGCTATGTGTAGTACGAAAAGTGTAAGAATTGATTCTTTAAGGATTTAACTACCTAAGGTGTGAGAGATTAATAGACAGATTGATCAGCATTAAAAGAGAAGAAATGAGTCACTGAGCTGAGAACCGGAAGACCTCCCCACCCCCAGGGCAGTGGTGTGCAAAGGGCTCCGAAGGACTTGTGCACAGTGGGAGACTCAGAAAGGCTTGCCTCACAGGTGCGTGCAGGCAGCCAGCGGTGTGCCTAGGGTGGGAGAGAAGCTGCCCGAGGGAGGGGCTGCAATGGTAGGACTGAGGCTGGCATGGGCCTCCTGTCCAGGGGGCACTACAGGCAACTTGGGAGTTGAATGTCAGTACTTAGGTTCAAAGCTGGCTGTTGAGTGCATTTCAAGTCTGTAAACAGTTACACGGAGGACTTTGCATAGAAGACTCCTATTTCTTCAACTGGTGTCTCATTTTCCGTTCTGCCTCTCTTGTTTTTGGAATATGCAATTGTATTTGCAGGGTTAAACCCGATGGACTCATTGCTGTGGTCCATACATTGTTCTGTAGGCTGGACATTTGATTGCCGACATAAATGATCCTGATTTTTCTCTCTCCCTGGTGTCTTCCCCCAGGTATGATTTTGTAGAAGTCGAGGAGCCCAGTGATGGAAGTGTGTTAGGACGCTGGTGTGGCTCGGGTGCTGCCCCGGGAAAGCAGATCTCGAAAGGAAACCAGATCCGGATAAGATTTGTATCCGACGAGTACTTCCCTTCAGAGCCGGGGTTCTGCATCCACTACGGAGTCGTTCTGCCGGTAAGCCCACTCCTTCAGAATCGTCACTGAGCCCCTCAGCTGTGGCTTTGCTCGATTTCCCCCTTTGGGATATGGGAATCAGAAAACCAAAACCCTCTCCCTGGCCTGGGGTTTCTTCCCCATACATTTTACTCTATTTGTATGTATTTGTAAAAAAGCAAAAATTTTTGCCATACAGAATTAGCAATGTCAAATACAATATGTGTTTTCCATTTTCAAGGTAGTACCCACTACCCCCAGCCCCCTGACTGGTATTTCGGGATCGATGGGAAAGTACATCGGGGTTATCTCCTGAGAGAGACAGGAAAAGCTGTGTTATGTATTTCTATCTTATCACTTAGGCCCTACCGTAAAATCCACCCCCATGGTGACTTTTTTAGTTCATTTTTAATCTAGGTTACATTAAATAATAAAATACATTTTTAGTATTCTAGCATTTTTATGACCTTTTGTAACATACGTTTTTTGCATTTTACTAAATATTACCCTTTATTTGAAGATATAATTTTTGAAAGTTACACAGTATTCTGGGGCTTTCAAGTTAATGTGGAATTTTGGAAATTAACGAGCTGCAGAGTGAACAAACCAGCACTCCTTGAGATTTTGGCTAAATATGTATTGCCTGAAAATCCATATTTATATACTTACTTTTTCCCTGTTAAAGTGGTATCATTTGTCTGTGACTTTACCAAAAATGTATTGTTAAGTATGATGTCTATAAAAATAAACCTGACATTTTTCCTTTCTACTTTTGCTAGAGAAAAGTAAACTTATTTTTCTTTTCCAGTGAATATATTAATATATTTCAATGTAGTTCTCTCAATTTTCCTATTTATCTTAAGATTTAGCTTGCTTGAATTATATTCATGGCCTTTGTGCCCCCCAAAAAAGAATTTTAAAATTCTCAATAGAGTTTAAGAAATGTTTCTACAATTTTATTTAATTATAATTGTATATTGTATAATATTTGTATTCTTAAGCTATTTTACTATTATTTTGAAGTTATATCTTTATTGTACAACAAAAACACTGAAAACTTGCTATTTTATCACATCCTATTTATATCTGTAATCTACAAGTTCTCACTCAATTAGGTTGATATTGTCTATTATACTTTGGAAAGTTAATTAATAATACTACTTTTAAAAGGGTGAAATGCAGTTATCTGTAACAGTTTGGACAGATGAGGTGGTCAATTTTCGTACTTTCAATGATGTATACTCTTACTGGGTATAAAAGCCTCATACACACCCCAGCAACTACTGAAGCAAATTAGAAAATATGGAATCAATAGGCTTGCTGCATTTGCTTTGTTAATCAAAATTTCCCTTTTTGAGTACCTCTAAGTTAATTGGAGTATTTTAAGGCAACTAAGTAAAAAGGAATTTTAAGTATTAGATAATATAGTTTAAAAGAAACATTAAATTGCAAACCTAAGTTTGAAAATGTTAATTTGTTCATTTGGTGATAGTAGAATCCTTCATTGCATCTGTATGACAATGAAGGAGATCTTTCAGCTTTTTTATTTTTCTGGTACCAGGGATCAAACTCGGGACCTTGTGCTTGCCCGGCGGGCACAGTGCCACTGAGCTAAATCCCTGGCCCCTGAAGATCTTTCTAAAATGTGATGGATTCAGGATGTGAATCTTGATCGTTTTCTTATACAGATTATTAAAGATATCAAGATCTCTATTCCATTCAGAAATAATTTTGTCATCATATATTCTCTACCATTTCCTTTGTCATGTTCAAAGGGTTTCCTTAATTTACCTTAAAAATTTAAACTGAGTAAAATTTGATATTATGCGCTAGAAATAAAAACTGGTACAATTGACTGAAGACCTACATTCTTCAAAACACTGCTGATCAGGGGTAGTTTGATACCATGATATGGCTAGATTAAAGCTACTAAAAGAACCTAACCTGTTTTCTTAGTATCCTGATTTACAGAATTTACAATTTAATTTTTTCAGCTGAGTGTGGCCTTGCAAACCACGGCTACATTTCCACAAAGTGATATGTTCTACATTTTGAGTTTTAGCTCACTGAGTTTGTTAATATTTAAATAAGGAGCCTCTAGGTTTTATTATAAAATATAATAGTAGGTTTTATGAGAGCAAAGGCTTTATTTATCCCAACCCTGAGGTAAAACTGAATTTTAAGGAGATTATTTATACTATAAGTGAACTATTCTCTTCACATTCTGGTAATTTATGTGTGTAGAAATGATCGACTCTTCTGCTACAGGACAAAACACGAAAGTACAATGTGTGTCCATCAGGACTCAGGGTTATCGTTTTTTAACTTTATGACCACATGGGTTATCTGCTTATATAACATGGAGAGTTGTGTGCATTAAGTGGAATCAAAACCACAAAATATTTATGACCCCTAGCTCGAGAGCAGGGAATGGTCTGGCAATAAATACTTGAATACTGAGTTTACCATGCACTCAGTCACCCCAACTTAGCTGACCCTGGTGACACTGGCTCTTGTGTACCCATAAATGCCTATCAGCTTCATGGGCCTTGTGATTAGATAAAGAATCACGAAAGGATCGTCCGAAAGGACCTCCATGCTGGAGCGGTGCTCAGGAACGCTCCACCACCCCAATGAATGAGACGTCTCCCATGTTTTTTTATCTAGTATCAGAGATTTGTAGTGCCTTAGGTGATGTGTGTGTCCTCAGTTCCAACCTTGGAATTGACTGGATCCCCTCTTCAGTGGTCGCTGAACTCATCTAGTATGGTGAAGTGTGGCTCTGGCAGACGCCGGTGAGTTCTGGAGTTGAGCTGTGCCCTGCTGGCCGCTCATCTGACCTGGCCAGGGCTGGGGATTCGTAATCACATGGCATAGGCGGTGCTGTAGTTTACGTGACCCCTTCAGGAGCCTAAACCCTAGCTGTGGAGAGGAACAAACAAGCCCGTGTGACGGTGGGGTCCTACAGTGCATGCTAAGGGTGGTTTGCTGATTTGGGTTCCTGGGAAGTTACTCATATACTCATGGACTCCATGGACTCATAAGCTTCGCCCCTTCTGCGTTTAGATTTTCTCTGACAATTGCCCCGCAGCTGCGTGGCCGCTTTGTCTTCATTCCATACACTGCTCTCCCTTCTGTACCTAACAGCGTCCTGCAGGGGGGCAGGAGCTGATGAGTGAGCGTTTGACAAGTGGTTATGCTTTTCAGCCCTGCAGAGTGTTTTGGATTATCATCGTATATTGCTAAATGACATCCCTCCCTCCACACACTCCCCAACACTTAGGGCGAGCAGGGCAGCAATCCATCAATCTTATCTGCGCGTCAGATAAATGCAAGCTGAAAGGAAGAGGTGCGTCTCTCAGAGAACTGACTTGAAAGTTCTCCTGGTATTTGCTTTGGGGCAAGTGCCCCCTCCCGTCACCCCCATCTTTTCTTGTGAGTGTTTTTTCTTTCTGTCAAGGCTGAGCTTTCATATTAGCAGGCCTGTTTCCCTAGAGACCATGGTCTCGCTGACTGCAAGCCCACCACTGCAAAACAGGGCCTTCGGTGCTGTTGGCCACACAGTTCTTAAACTTTGTAATAATAAAAATAAAACAGGCAGTGAGTCCTTGGTAGACTTAACTTCCTGTCTAGAGGTTTGCTGTCGGTCCTGAGGCCGATGCCAGATGCGCTGCCTCTGCTCATTAAGGTTTCACAGGGATCTGGCCACTCCTTAGAACTTCACAGAAGTCCATTTTCCTTTGGATTTCTCTAAAACTCAAGTAGAACCGAACTAACTTCTCACCAGTGGCAGGGCACCTTTGTAACTGCCACAGGCTGGGGAGCGGTGATTCATAAACTAGAAAACTAAACGTCAAGTAGTGACACTGGGTATTCTCCTCCTGAAAACTTGGGCTGCAAATCAAGGACATGTTCTTGCCTTGCTAGAGAAATCTGCCCTGGTTTCTTCCTCCCTCCCTCGCTTCTTTCCCCTCCTTCCTTCCTTCCTTCCATCCATCCTTCCTTCTTTCTTTCTTTCAAAGGAGGAGATTAAATCAGGTATTAGTGAAACACCCACGTCACTACTGTAAAGAACTTAAGTACAACTTTTTATAACCATTAATGTGTATAAGCAGTTTTACCTGCTTTGATCGTGAAACAATGACTATTTTGCACCTACTCTCTACAAAATACAGAGAGAATTTTAAGCACATTACATTTTCTCTAGAACAAATCACACAGAAAGATTTTGCAAATAAAAAGATAACCACAGCCTTCTTTGAAAGTATGAATGGCTGTCTAATTCTGATCTTTAATTTCCGTTGGGTCTGATAACCATGTGTCTTAGAGGTAAATCTTTATATGTCAGTTGATAGTTTTTGCAAACAGTGTTTGCTGTTACTCTTTATTGAAATAGGCTGTGACTAATGCTGGGTTACCCCTTTTGAGATGATTTCCTCCTCTCCTTCTCTCTCAGTCAACAAGGGATGGGACGTACAGCCCGGCCAGACCAGCGAGGGTGTTGCATTGGATGAAGTGATATTGATCCAATACGTATCAGAGGGTTTTATGTTTCATAAATACAGACACCTTGCTTTATAATGTTATGAATTCAGTGTCATTTTTGGGCTCCCAGGTATCTTCGAATAAACCACAAATAAAATCCATGTCCCCATTTTACTATATAAAGTTGGTATTATAGGGTAAATCTAGTTTTAGAAACACTGGCGCTAAACAGTGACCTGAAGTTGTAGGTAGTTGTAATTTAAAAAAAGAAACATTAAGATTTATGAAATAAACTTAACTTTTTTGGCATTTAATGCTGTTTTTGAGAATTAATTATGGAAATAGTATTCTCCAATAATGCCCCATTAATAAGTAATCAAAAATGAATCTGTACAAATTGATCCTAAGTGATAGACATTCGTGATTGGAAGGAGTTAATAATGTCTTTAATTTTTTTTTTCCTTCCTGCTAAAAGAGAGGCTGAGAAAATGGCCCCATAGATTAGTGACGAGAGATTGTTTGAGAAGAAATGAAGC